TACTATACTACTACTACTCTCTCTCTCTCTCTCTCTCTCTCTCTCTCTCTCTCTCTCTCTCTCTCTCTCTGGTATAGGGTCAGATCGAGATCGGCCAGTGACCGATCCTAAGTTAGTCGGTCGATTTTTTAAAAACTGGTTGATCTTTTAAAGGCTCTTTCCATAACATTCCAAAAACCTTGTTGGAAAATGGGAAAAAAACAATTTTAAAAAAAAAAGAGAAAGAGAAGAAACAAGTACATACAAGACAATGGTGTTTTCATTGGACATAAAGCAACCAAAATTTTTGCATGCACTTAAAAAAACAAAATGTCCCATTTCTATCATTATAAATATAACTATATCATGCACTTAAAAAAAAACATAATTAAAAAATCGGGCGACATTATCATGCACTTATCAAAAAGAAGAATCAATTTCATCAAAAAAATAATTTTAACAAAAAGAATAATTTTATTAAGCAAAATAGAAAAACATTTTTTATGTCCATAAAAAAAAAGTAATTTTATTAAAAAAATCATAATTCTATTAAAAATAATTTTATTAACCAAAATAGAAAAACACTTCCCATGTTCATCAAAAAACAAAATTTTATTAAAAATCATGATTCTATTAAAAATAATTTTACTAAGCAAAATAGAAAAACACTTCCCATATGCATAAAAAAAATAATTTTATTAAACAAAATATCTTTTTTAGAAAAATTGACTTTTCAAAAACCCCAAAAATCAACAGCATTTCGAGCAAGAAACGACCCTCAATGTTTGGATAATCGAACAAATAAACATACATATATTGTAAAGCTTCGATCATCTTTCAAACGCACCAAATATCATAAAAAAATATCAGGTATTTTTAATTTAATTGAAAAAAAGGCAGAAATTTCAGATCTATGAAATTTTCATGATATGATGCAATAAAAAAATTCATATAAAAAATTTTACTCAATCATAAATAAACATACCAATTTTATTTGTGATATGAAGCCTCAATGATCGAAATCCACAACTCAATTTGATAAAAAACAACCAATAAATGGAATCTGCGCTTTTGGGTCAAACACAGGTTCTCTGAGTAGCAGCATTTCGGGAAAAACTAAACCCTTGATTTTTCATTTTCTGAACAAATAAAGAGTTGAATCTAGTAAATACTTCAAATAGCACCCCTCAAATTTCTTCAAGAATCAGTTCGTATTGAGGAGATTATTGAAAGATTGGCAGAAATTTTTAAAAACTTAAAAATCTGCCATTTCAATCCAAGAAACTCCTCTTTTTAAAATGTTTAATTCCAAATTACTTATTTCGTATTCATTATATAGTGATTTAAACTATTAAAACATGAAAAAAAAACCAAAAAATGGCCTCAAATCGAATAAAAAAAGGTGAAAAATGGGATTCATGGTTGTCCCACTACATATAGCGGTTCCTATTTAAAAAAAAAACCGTTATTTATACATAACCGTTATTTACTTAAAGACGTTGTTATAACGTCGAACCGGTCCGGTTAGCTGAAAACCGGCTGATTTGACAAAAATACGGCCGGTTCGACCCCTAACCGGCCGGTTTTGGACCTGAAACTTTTTGTAAGACATAAGTTAGACTACTAGTACTATAAAATCGGGCCTAACTGGACTTGGACCCTAGCAGTTCCGAGCTAACTTGTGAACAATGATAACCATACATTTCGATGTCGAGATGATCAATTGGAAAGTTTTCTAGCCTTAAAACTTTTTTTTCTATTGGATTTTTTATGTGCACCTTACTTCTACAATTTAAGATTGCAACCTTATATAAATTTTTTCTTTTTTTTAAAAAAAAACATATATATAATATAATATGTATGTCAATATAAGTGCCAAAAGTAGTTCTATATGGAATTTTACATAAGAGACTAAATTGACAATATGCTCCCACGGGAGCACATAGTCTTTTGGCAAAAGATGCAGCCCTTACCAGCCCACATCATTTGCATGTCCTAAAACTATCTTAATTCATTCCAAACTATATGGAAACAACTAAGGAACAAAGTGCATGACTTCTATTCATGTCCTAAACTCATTTGATGCCATGAAATATAGATGAAGCAGCCAAAAACTAGAGATAAATAAACCTATTTATTAGAAGAGAAACCCATAACTTACATGTACTATGAAGACTCCAATGCCATGGGAAAAATTAATGAAACCCACACCAAAAAAAAAAAGCCATCACCGAAATGCCATTCACGTAAGGGTGCGGTTTGTATAGAGCTGGGGCTCTAATCAACCAAAGTAGAGCACACCTTCAAATAGTATTGAGAAATGTGGTTTCAATACTAAAAATCACAATAATAACCTTAAACTATATTTTCATCTCTAATTATAAAATTTAAAGCTTAAAAGTAGTGTAGATTGAGCAAATCTATGAAAACTTGAAAATATTAAAAATTAACATTCTAAAAATGTATTACAAGATGCACTATTTTCAAAACTTGAAATACATTTTTTTCTGATGTCTATGCATCTTAACGTTGAGATGATCAATTTGAGGATGTTTGGGCATCAAAACAACCTATTTTAATGAAATTTATGAGGTGTACTCTAATTTGATTGTTTAAAGCCTCGGTTCTATATAAACTTTTTTCCTTCATATAATGAACCAATCAAGAGAGAGTGAAGGGAAATTCATATGAATCACATCAAGAAAAGGAATAGGTAAGGGTCCCAAAAAATAAAGGAATAGGTAAGGGTCCCAAAAAATGGATCGGTGAATTAGATTGTCCATCCAGAGTACTGGTCCAGTACGGTATATAGGCAATCCAGCCTAGTGAATCATCTAATAAATTTTTTTAAATATTAGAGAATAATAAAAAATGGATGCGTTTAGCATGCGGCCAAGCTCACACATGTAGAAATGCCCGCTTGGTAATAAATGTACTTTTTAAATATAAGTTGATCATAATTTTAGAGACTATATAATCTCTAAAAATAGAGGTCATAATCATGAAAAAATAAATAATTAATAATAATTATGTTAAAAAAACATTTGAATGATTAGTTATAATGATGAGGCTTCGTACCTCTGGACCACTACAAATGCAGTACAGCCCGCTTTAAACAATTGTTCATAAACAATTGAAAAATTTAAAAGTAAAAAGTGGGGCCAGCTCTCTAACAGAATAAAGAGAACCGCTGGTTTTCGATATTAAATAGGAACTGGGACGGCCCCTCTACTTCCCAATTCAATCCGCCGGTTCTAATCCGGATCACCAGTCTTTCAAACCCTGTTGGTTCAATCAAAGTAATGAGAAAATTTTAAATGAGAAAATTTTGAAGCCGCATTTGAGTTTTTTACAATGGGAAATCCCAGCTGTCTACCATTGATATTCCTACACCCAATCTAACCACCATATCACTGATAATGGAGAGAAGAGAGAGACATCAGTTAAAAAAGACTAACCATCTGTCCTTCCATCGCTATAACCTCTCTCTACAAATGTCTTCTCCATAACCATATTTTCCCTTCATTTTCTCACTCTAAACTCTTCAATGGCCATATCCATGTAGCATTTTGGTTCTCAATTTCTTCTCAACCAGGCCTCCAAACATTAATGGAGGCCCCTGACTCTCTCCCTCTCTCTCCTCCCAAGTATAAGAGCCCAGCCTTTCTTTCCGTCTTCCAAATATAGCCACCCCACTTTCTCTCTCTAGCTCTTGTATAACCATCCACCCCACTTCTTGGGTATCTCATTCCTCCTCAGCCAGTCCTCCATTACCCGTCAATGGAGGCTCCAGGGCCACTCTCTCTCTCCTCCCCAATTGGGTTAGAGAGCACCCCACTTCTCAGAGACAACAACGGTAGAAGGAGAACAGGAAACAACAATAGTAATAGTAATAATGTAGCTCTCTTAATTACTAGGGCCACCATGAGAGAGCCATCAATGGCGGTTAGGGAAACAGCAGCTCTTCAATTAGAGGAGAGACAAACAGATTGGGGTTATTCGAAACCTGTAGTGGTTCTTGACATGATATGGAATATGGCATTTGTGGTTGTTTCATTTGTGGTGCTTCTTTCTTCTAGGAGAGAGAGACCAGGCACCCCATTGAGGGTGTGGATTGTGGGTTATGTAATTCAATGTGTTTTTCATGTGGGTTTTGTCTGGTTTGAGTATAGGAGGAGGAATTATAGAGAATTGGGGAGATCTGCTTGCATTGGGTCTGATGCTGAGGACGAGGCTTGCATAACAGGGCAAATTCCAGAGAATCAAATGAGGTATCTTTGTAAATTTCGAGCTTGTTGAATGTGGTTCTCGCCTTCTCATTCTCTCTCTTGCTGTTTTAGGTAATTTGGATTTGAATGATAGTTTTTGTCATACATGCTTTTGTGATTAGGGGCTACCTGACCTTTCAATTGTTGTTGTTGTTGTTTACTGTTTACTTTGAAATTTGATTCATAGTGATGATAATAATTCATGATAAGTAATGTGGCAACTTTGGCGGGGTCATTTGGTGGTAAACAAATGGTAAAATTTTTGGGTTGTCGAATAACATGGACAGAATAACAAGATAGATAAATTGTTCAATGAAATAAATCAAAGGCCTCCAGAACCAATCATCAGGGAAAAAAAGCTCCAAGAACAATAACTTTTCACCCCTCAACAATGTCAATGGAATGCTTGGTTGTCTACTTGTGTTGATTGATGTGAAGTTAAAATTCAAAACATGATGTTCCATGGTTGTTTTTTCTCTTTAAAATCTTGGCAAAATATAGCACCAGCTACCGTCTACCAAAAAAAAATAAAATCAATGCCATGAGTAAAAAACATCAACTAGTATGGCTTTTCTTCTAAGTACTCTAATTTTGTCCAAATTCTTTTTTTTTGTTTTTTGGTTCTTGTGAAGATGCAATGTTCTGTTGACATATGTCATAAAACATGCATGTACAACAATATATGTTCCCTTCATTTTCTTTCAATGATTCCAATTGTGCTTTTAGCATTTTATCGACTAGACATTATTTCGTTACCTATAATTTATATGTAAAATATTAGAAGAGAATGAATAGAATTTGGAAGTGCTTCTCATAGAGTTGATCTGCTAGAGAATATGTATCTCTTATTTAGGTTCATGAAAGAGTTATGCTCTTGCTGATGCCTTCCCTTCTATTCCATTTTGCATGCCCTTTTGTTCGGCATTACGAGAAAATTTTGAAACTCTTCTGCAACATGTAATAATTATTGACTATTAGCTCAGAAATTGTTTCTAGTTCCTAATTAGATTTCATTCATCAATGTACCCAAAATAAACACTTTAATTTAAATATAATATAAGAGAAGAAAATGTGAGAAGCACAAATTACCTTGAATAAAGGGAATAAAGGATGGGTAATGATTTTAAACTAGGAATAAATTAGAAACCTAAAACAATTCTTCTTCTGCTATGCATGTTTAATTTCCAGTTTCAATGTGATGTCTCAGTTTGTAATTTTATATAATGCAATCATGCAATATTCTTCTGATAGGTGCACATAAATGTGGAGTTAATGTACATTGTTATAAGTGGGCAATGATATTTTCTTGTGCGTTGATTTAATGTAGCTATTTGTGACTGATCCTGTTGAGAGATATATGCAAATTTCTTGCTTTTTGTTATCACTATGTGTAATAGTGTATGACTACTCATCATGGAACCCTCATGTTTTGTGATGATGTGCAGAGTATTATTGATGTGATGGTTTGCATGCACAAACACACTTGTTGCATTTGATATTGACATCTTTGACCAATATTCTACTTATATCTTTCTTATGTTATACCCATGCTTGTTTAGATGTTGCATTCATGGAGTAACTTTGTCTTACCTAAATGATTAAAAGGCGTATCTAAAGCTCTTTTCACCTTAGCATACTAGTTTCAATGCCAATACCTGTGTTAGTGTTTGAATACCAATTCATGGCAAGTATATAGATAGATGAAAAATCACGAGAAGTTCTATAATGTTGTATATTTTGGTCTGACTGTAGTGCCCGATGCTTGAACTCTAACCCATTTGCATACTTATGCTGTGTGTGTGTGCGCGCGAAGAAGTTTCTTTTTCCTAGGCTTGTGTTACCTTTTTAAGCTATGATTCTGATTTGACTTCTTGTTCATTAGCAATGGCATCGTCAAGCAATTGCAGTCAATGAAAACATTAACATCATTTGTTTGGTGGATAATTGGTTTTATTGGGTCCTTAAAGGTGGGCAAGCTCTTATGCAGGATGCCCCCCACCTCTATTGGCGTGAGTTTGGCACACTGTTCTTTCCCTGTTTCCATTTTGATGTTTCTGTTATCAGAATACTTTAACTTTAGCTTGATACTAAAAATATGTGCGAGCTTGCGAGTGAGCGTGTGCGTGTTTATAATGACGACCATTCCTTCGTCTATGTATTGAGGACCTAATCAATTTTTCACGAGGACTTAAAATCCCTCCTAAGCACTTGCAAATCCATTTATGCTGCTAAAAAGTGGATTTGGAGCTCCAAAAATAGTGCAAATCTAATCAACTTGGGGACCATTGAAATGGATGGTCCATATTTGAGGTTGAGAGAGCACTCAAAATTGAGCACTTTTAGGGTTCCAAATCCTTTTTTTCTCTTGGATCTCGTCCTTGGAGGTGAAGAGGATGGACCTGCAATAATTTTGGATCCCTATCCATTTATTTGATGGATTTTTAGGGGATGCTGCATGGTGATTTCCATGATTTGATGGATTTGTAGGAGGCTACACCATGATTTGGTCTGGCTGGGGTTGTGCTAACGCCAGACCCTTTATTTTATTTAGTTGTCAATGGTAGGTTTTGTAGAGCAAGAGTGGGATGCACATTCAAATCAATATGTTTTCAGGACCCATTCTCCACCATCATCCAAACAATTGATGGGACTGTGATAGCCGCTATAACTGTACTGTTTCATGACCATATGGATCATGCCATATTTCCCCTTGACGTTTATTGATCAATACTAGTTTATGGTTGAGTGTGATGCATTTTTAATCAATTAGTAACATGAATGTAAGTGGTCCCCTTATGTTAATTCTTTTGCAGGATGGTTATTATATTTCTTGCTTTTGACGTGTTCTTTGTCATATTCTGTGTCGCACTTGCTTGTGTGATTGGTATTGGTCTTTGTTGTTTCTGGTCAGGCATTATTGGCTTCCTCTATGTAGTGGCTGGGCAAGGAATATCATATGCAAGCATAATCTGTCTCCCCACTTTCACATTCAATGAGCGATCTCTCTCACCCTAGGATTCAGCAAATGCTTTGTTCATTGAATTAGTCTTCTGATGTTTTAAAATCTTGTGGTTTCTCTCTCTTTTAAGGGTGTGTTCTCCTTTTTAAATGAACTGTCCCCTGATATTTCTTTGGGAAAATTTCCCTTATACACATGCATAATATATGTGATGAACGTAAAGTAGACTTCTCTGATTTTCTATAAGATGAAGTCATAACATTTGCTCAGTGTTGCCTGTATCGTTATGTTAGATTGACATCTCTTCAGGTCCTCTTTTTGTGCTGTCGCTGTGTTCCTTAGCTTTCACTAGATCTCTCTCTGTCTCTCTCTCTCTCTCAACTCATTCTGATGTTATTAAGACCAGATTGATGCAATAGTTACGCAACTCTTGTACTCCATCACAAATAAGAAAAGTATTACCAAACTACAACTTGCGTTTTTGAGTGCAATCCATATCAGACATCTGATAAGTTGTGTGGTTAGGGTGTTGGTTTGATTGGTTCTGCTTATCTTGATTCTTTGGAAGTAATGAACTCTCTCTCCCCTCCCACGTGCAGAAGTGTTGCATTTTCCTTTCATCTTATAAAGAGGGCGCCGAGCTTGACTCTCCTCCTTGTAATCACCATTTTCATTCAGGGTGCATCCGAAGGTGGCTTCAGATGCGTATAAGGGAATTTTTCATTCACGTTCATCACATATATTATGCATGTGTATAAGGGAAATTTTGCCAAAGAAATATTAAGAGACAATTCATTTAAAGAGGACAACACACCCTTAAAAGAAAGAGGAACCACAAGATTTTAAAACATCAGAAGACTAATTCATTGAACAAAATAATTACTGAATCTTGGGGTGAGAGAGATCGCTCATTGAATGTGAAAGTAGGCAGATGGATTATGTTTGCATATGATATTCAGTCCCCGGCCAATGCATGGAGGAAGCCAATAATGGATGGCTAGAAACAACAAAAAGCAATGCCGATCACACAAGCAAGTGCGACACAAAATCAGGCAAAGAACACATCAGAAGCAAGAAATATAACAACCATCCTGCAAAAGAATTAACATAAGGGGACCACTTTCATTCATGTTACTAATTGATTAAAAATGCATCATATTCAACCATGAACTGGTATTTGATCAATAAACGTTGAGGGGAAATATGGCATAATCCATATGGTCATGAAACAACACAATTATAATGGCTATCACAATCCCATCAATTGTTTGGATGATGTTGGAGAATGGGTCCTGGAAAGATATTTGAATGTGCATCCCACTCTTACCCTACAAAACCTACAATTGATTATCACCAATAATCTTGATCATTTTGTTATCATAACCATATGCATCATGCTATATTTAAAAAAAAAACAGGATTCAATTTATTCAAATGAATAAAATAAAGGGTTTGGCTTTAGCACAGCCCTAGCAGGACCAAATCACTATGTAGCGCCCCTTACAAATCCATCAAATATATGGAAATCACCATGCAACATCCCTTAAATATCCATCAAATAAATGGATAGGGGATCCAAAATTATTGCAGATCCATCATCTTCACCTCCAAGACCCATATCCATGAAAAAAAAAGAGAGGCTTTGGAGCCTTAAAAGTGCTCAATTTTGACTGCTATCTCAACCTCAAATATGGACCATCCATTTCAATGGTCCCCAGGTTGATTAGATTTGCACTATTTTTGGTGTTCCAAATCCACTTTTTAGTGGCAGAAATGGAATTGCAGGTGTTTAGGAGTATCGTGAAAAGTTGATTAGGTCCTCAATACACAGATGAAGGAATGTTCGTCATTATAAACACGCACACGCTCACTCGCAAGCTCACACATATTTTTAGCATCAAGCTAAAGTTAAAAGTATTATGATAGCAAAAACATCAAAATGGAAACAAGGAAAGAACAAATGTGCTAAAATCTCACCAATAGAGGCAGGGGAGAATCCTACAGAAGAGCTTGCCCACCTTTAAAGACCCAATAAAACCCAATT